GCTTCGATCCTGGTTCAGTCCGCACCTCCTCGTCCTTTCCCTTCTGTTCGTTCTGGTCCCCCGCCCCTGCTTCCGGCCCCGAAGCGTCTGAGGGTTTCGGGGTCGGAGCAGGGGTTACTTGATCTCGAGACTCGGGTAGCTTCGGGGGTTGCCCCTTCCGGGGGTGTGGCAGAGGCATTCGAGTCTTGTCTCCCGGCCGAAGCTTCAGGGTCTGACCAGTGGGCCCCCCTTCCTCCAGCTTTTCCGGCTGCTCCGTCCTTGTCTTGTGGGGTCGGGGCTTGGGGAGAGGACTCGGCCTCGGGTCCTGTGGTGACGGACCTCGAGGCTGGGGAGGGGCTGACTAGGGGGCCTTGGGCCCCGCTGGACCCCGCCTGGGTTTTTCTTCCCACTGAGTAGGGCTTATTGTTACAAGGAGTGGGGTTTTCTTTTCCCCCCCTCTGCGTACGAGTTGGATTTGGTGTCGGCCCCTCCCTGGGTTCGGTTCCGTGTTCCCCCGGGTACGTCGGTTCCGTCCTTCCGGAGGTTTTCGGCTTATCGCATCCAACCTGGTGTGGTGCGAGCGGCTTTTGCAGCTTACCTCCTGCGTGACCCGGATTATGCCTCGGAAATGGATCCGTCCACGTTCAGGTTTGGGACTTCGTTCCCTTTCTGGCTCCGTTACGAGGTTCCGGAGTCGTCCTGGCTAGCAGACTGCCCCTTGTTTGGTCTGGATTCCTGGCATTCCTTCTGTCGTTCCCGCACGCTGGAGTGGCAGGAAGCTTCCACGGTGCTTCAGGTTTTCCTGGGGGTCGAACTTGAGTACCTGAATGAGTGCTTGTTTGCCCCTGCCCTTCCCCGCGATGTGGGCGTTATTCAGCTCCATGTGCAGGTTCCCTCCCTTTCGGCGGCGCTCGTTGTGGAGGACTTGCGCGCCCGGGGCCTTTTGTGTTCGGCCTTGCGGTTCTTTTCCCTCCTGGAGCTGTCTTCGGATTGGCTCATGGAGGATGTGGGGACGCTTGGGTCCGTCCCGGGGTCCGGCACCTTGTCCTCGGCTGCGCGTTCGTCGGCTGCCTTGTTGAAGCTGTTCACGCCGATTTTGCGGGATGTGGTTTCCCTGTTTTATGCTTCCCGTTTCGCGTGTCGGCAGGCGGTGCTGGGTTCCTCCGTGGACTCTGCTTGTGCTCTGGCTCTTAGGCATTCTTCACCTTTTTGTCCTCTCCTGTTTGGGGAGTCGGCCGTGGCGCAGTTTATTCAGGCTGCGTCGGCGGCTTGTCGTCCGATGTCGGACTTGTTGGTTTTCCGGGGGTCCTGGGGTGGGTCTTCCCGGAAAGGTCGTGCCAGGGCTCGGGGTTCCTCTCGTCGTGGTAGGCCTCTCGTGTCAGGTTTGGGGTTGGCTCCTCCTGCGGACCCTCCCTCGTCTGGGTGGCGCGGTGTTCGCGCTGTGCGGGGTTCTGGGTCTCGTAAGGGTCACCGGCCCTTTCGCGGTTTGCCCCCTTGACGGAGCGATGGGGGGGGCGGCTTGCGCTGTTCGCCTGCGCCTGGTCCCACGATTCGTGGGCCTTTCGGGTCGTGTCTCGCAGCCTGCGGTGGCGTTGGGTAGCCCCTCCCCCCTTTGGGGGGTCGGGGCTGGCAGGGCAGGTTTCTTCCCCTGCGCTCTGTCGAGTCGTCTTGTAGTGGGTACGCTGGGGCGTCGTCGAAACGACTTCGTCCCTCAGATGGGTTTCCCGTCTGTTTCCGGTTCCGAAACGGGACTGCGCGGACCTGCGGTTCATTCTGGACTTGTCCCGTCTGAACCCCTGGGTTCATTGCCCCTCCTTTCGGATGACTACGCTGTCTCAGGTTCGGCTCCTCTTGGAGCCGGGAGCTTGGATGGTGTCCCTGGACCTCCGGCACGCTTATTGGCATGCCCCGATTCATCCGCGGTTCAGGGACTGGCTCGGTTTTGTTGTGGGGCGTCTGAGTTACCGCTTTCGTTGTCTCCCATTCGGGTTGAACCTGGCGCCTCGCGTGTTCACGCGCCTTACACGGGTTGTGGTGGCTCGTTTGCGTCTCCTAGGTGTTCGGGTGTTGGCCTACCTCGACGACTGGCTGGTTTGGGCTCCCAGCCAGTCAGCTTGCTTGCTAGCCAGGGATTTGGTTCTTTCCCAGCTCGCCGAGTTCGGGTTCTTGGTGAACTGGAGGAAGTCCCATCTGGTTCCCTCTCAGGTTTGGACTTGGCTGGGTCTCGTTTGGGACTCTCGAATCGCCTCCTTATCTCTCCCTCCGGAGTCTCTCCTGCGGCTGCGGTCCCGTCTTCGTCTGTTTCTGGAGGGCCCTCGGGTCACCCGGCAGTTGCTCGAGGGGCTGTGCGGGAGCCTGAACTTCGCAATGGTGGTCTACCCGCCGGGTCGGGTTTGGCTTCGACGGCTGTTCTGGTTCGTTCGGGGTTCCCCCTTCCGCCTCTCTCGCGATCGCAGAGTTCGACCCCCGGGGGCCTTGCGTCGGTTGCTGCGTCACCGGCTTCCTCTTCGGGTTTTTCGGGGTTCAATGCCTTGGCGCCTACCCGAGCCCTCGCTCGATGTGTACACGGATGTGTCGTCTCTCGGCTGGGGTTTAGTGACCAGTGCTCACCAGGCCGGCCAGGGGCGTTGGGATCCGTCCTTCCGTCTAGCTCACAGCACGGTGCGGGAGTTCGCGGCAGTGTGGTTTGCTCTGGGGAGGATTCGGGTGGCCCGCGGATCGACGATTCGGCTCCATTCGGACTGCTCTCCAGTGGTTCATTGCCTGAACCGCGGGGGTTCGATGCGGTCCTTGTCTCTTTGGGGTTGGTCGCTTCGGGTGACTCGTCTGCTGAGTTCTCGGGGTTTGGCTCTCCTGGCGGTTCACGTACGAGGCGTGTCCAACGTCTTGGCCGACGCCCTGTCTCGCTTCGTTCCCCTCTCCACGGAGTGGACGGTCGACGATGAGTCCTTCCGTTGGCTTTGCCAGACGTTCGGGTGCCCCGAAGTGGACCTCTTCGCGTCGGCGTGGTCGCGGCGTCTTCCCGTTTATGCGGCGCCCTTCCCCGATCGCGAGGCCGTCGGGGTCGATGCCTTTTGGCTAGACTGGTCGAGGTGGGGGTTCCTGTACCTCTTTCCCCCGGTTCGGCTGTTGCTCCAGGTCCTGACTCGCTTAGAGACTTACCAGGGGAGAGTTGTCCTTCTGGCCTCTTGGTGGCCGGCCCAGCCTTGGTTTCAGGCGCTGGTTGCTCGGTGTCCGAACCCGAGTGTTTTCCCGCGGCTCCGGCTCTTTCAGCAGATCGGGCCGGTATGTCACGTGGCTGGTTCGATCTTCTCCTCGAGTCTTCGCGTATGGTTTTTTTTACTCGAGTCTATCATCATCTCTATGGTGATCAGGTGCCCTCCTTGTTGGTGTCCCACCTGAGGGCTTCTTCTCGGCGGCAGTATGAAGTTTCGTGGCGGTCCTTCCATTTCTTTTTGCGTCTTCGTCGTGTTAGCAACTTGTCTGTTCGGGTGGTCTTGTCCTTCCTCTCGTGGTTGTTTCAGGACCATCATCTTATGCCTAACACTGTCGCTTCGTATCGTGCGGCGCTGGCGGAGCCGCTTCAGCTTGCTTTCGGTATCGATGTTACGTCTGCGCCGTTTCGCAAGCTGTCTCGTGCATTGTTTCACCTCCGGCCTGCTCATGCGTTGCCTGAGCCATCCTGGTCTTTGGACAGAGTGCTCGCTTTCCTTTCATCTCCTCATTTCGCTGTGGCCCCTTCGGTCCAGGATTGTTTTTCCAAGGCACTTTTCTTGTTAGCTTTGGCCTCTGGGGGTCGGGTAGGGGAGCTTCATGCTCTCCTCCGGCGCAGGGGTTTCTGCTCTTTTGGTCGTGGTGATTGTTTTGTTCGTTTGCAGCCGTCTCCTTCTTTTCTGGCGAAGAATGAGACTGCTGCGTTCCGGAGGGGTCCGTGGGTGGTTGATGCTTGGTTGGTCAGGCCGGGGGTGCATCATGTTTTGTGTCCGGTTGCGGCGCTTCGCCGTTATTTGCGCGCCACAGCTTCTGTGTCCGGGTACGCGCTGTGGGTTGATCCGGTTTCCCTTCTTCCCTGTTCGCGGGTTCGGGTCTCTCAGGTCGTCCGCAGGGTTATTAGGTCCAGCCAGCCTGCGGTCTATCCCCGTGCCCATGACGTTCGTAAGTTCGCGGCTCTTGCTGCCGTCTTTGGGAATATGTCTTGGTCTGATATTCGGGCGCGGGGATTTTGGCGGTCGAACAGGGTCCTGGCTGCTCGTTACCTTGTGAATGTCCCTGGGCCTCGTCGGGCCTGTGTTGCTTTGGGTCGGCAGTTGCAGCCAGTTGTCTCGGCTTCGAGTTGAGGGGTGAGCGACGACCGCCTCCCGGGTAAGGCCCTCTTTTTTCTGTCTGTGGGTAGTTAGCACCGGGGAGCCGACGGGGCTCCCCCCAGAAAACCAGCGTTGAATGTAATGAAACGCCATTTTCTGGGTGAGTCCCGGAGGCTCCCCAGCATCCCTCCCTCCCTCCGGTCAGCGGTTTTTCGCGATTTTGACATCCAGCCTCAAGAACTGAGGTGTGGGTAGACGGCGCGGGGGTCTGGGGCTCCCCCTTCCCCCTCCCGGGGAGGGGGGAGCTGCGCAGACAGCGGCGCGACGGTGTGTGACGTCACACTAGTTTGCTTGTTTTCGGTTGGGAAGTTCTATCCACTAGTTCGGTTTTTGGTAGCAATTTTAACCAGAATAGGGGTTTGTTTTTGGGCGCTTACCTTTCTGGGTGCCTGTTCCGGTCGATGGCAGACATAGAATGCTTCCAACTACACGGGGGCTTCTATAGGCCATTGCTCCCCTTGCCTCTCTGAGGGGGCCCGGTTCTGGCCGTGGTCCCCGGTAGGCCTAAGAACTCCATACACATGACTGATGCCAAAGTCTGACATTAGCATATCAGCCTGGGATAGCTCCGGGGAGCCTCCAGGACTCGCCCAGAAAATGGCGTTTCATTACATTCAACGCTGGTTTTTTATTCTGTATCTCTAAAATATATAAATTAATTCTAGATATCCAGAACCTGACCTTCCAACTCATGTTGAGCGGCAAATATCTCATGTAAGCCAAAGAGACTGGGGACGACCAACTTCTCCATGGGCATCTTCACCTTCATATTCCCCATGGGCATCTTCATCTTCATCTTCATCTTCATATGCTCCATGGGCATCTTCATCTTCATATGCCCCATGTGCACCTTCACCTTCATATGCCCCAAAGATTCGTCCACCTACTGTGCCTCGCAGGGCTCAAATTCCACCATCTGCTCCACACTCCTATGCATTGTCTCCAAATAACAGCCCAAACTTGCATTTGAAGTTTGTTGATATTCCAATAAGTGACGTACTTAAGACAGACCATGGCATTACTACCTTAGACCTTCACCACATGACTGTCAGAGAAGCCACTCAGACAACGAATAAGTTCCTCCGCCAAAGCGTTGGTCAACATAAGGTCAGAATTGTTACTGGTAGGGGTTTACATAGTGAAGGTGGAACACCCAAACTCAAACCAGCTATTGCATTACTTTTAAAGCGAAGAGGTTTTGAGTTTCGAGAGGTGAACAATGGAGGATGCTTTGAAGTAACTCTCTCTTAATGTGTTAGTTACGTTATGGTAGTATAACGTAGAAGTTGGTAAAATTATTAATTTTTTAATTCTTATTGTCTTGAGAAGAAGAATTTTATTTTTATTTTATTTTATTTTATTTTACGTTAACAAGAATAATTACTTGGCATTTTATTTTACTTTGAATTTTATGTCTTCAATGGTTAATTTGTGTTATGTATTTTAGAAAGACAACTAACTGCATATGACAACCAATTTAATTGGTAATTTTACAAGATTGTTAGACAAATCATGCGGATGTAAACAATTAGACTGGTCTAAAAAAATTGGATTAAAAACTCACTCAATCCATTTTGACAAAAAGTGAATATGATTTTAATTGGAGCTATATTTTTTAATACTCAGAACTGGACTCGGAGCTAATCCTTTGTTCCGCCTTCATGATAATGAGAGTAGAAATTTTGTGTTTCATTTTGTTAAACTTTAAAAAAAAAAATATTTTTAAATCACATTGATGAATTCTTGAGGTTGTCACAGAGGCTTAATTGTCTGCATTCATGGCTATGTTGCATATAAAATGTGAAAGTCAAGTTATTTAATATGAAAAGTGTAAGAGTAATAGCAATACAGTAAATGTAATGATATTTACAGTGCCATGTATTGCAGCATCATCACTGAGGGCTCCTGTAGATCTTATATCACCTCACATCTCAAACAGGTAAAGGTTGACTAGGAAAAAAGCCAGTCCATTATGCATGGCATTTGAAAATAACATTAATATTTGTACATACAGAATCACAATAATGTGATGTTTATCAAATGAACAAATCCACAAGGGCTGTGATAAGGATTCAAACTAAGGCGCTGAGTGTTCACAGATGCGCTCTAGTCAACGGTTGCAATTGTTTTGGCCATGTCGTGATACAGTTGATTAGAGCGTGTCTGTTGACCAGACCACACACTAGAAGGTGAAGGGATGACGACGTTTCGGTCCGTCCTGGACCATTCTCAAGTCGATTGTGATGAGGAAGTAGAGACAGGCAATAACGAGTGTTCCCAGACGTGTCTGGGAACACTTGGCGCACAGGTTTGAACCCTCATCAAGGTTACTCTGGATTTACTAATATTTGTAGAATTATCTAAAAATAATTAATGATGCTCTCTAGTTGCAGAAAATAGATACAGTATTTAATAAGAAAATTGGAGCTCTATTTTTGACCATTGGATTAAATAATAGTAATATTTTATAGTGGTGCTGTATTGTCTTTAAGGTTAAGAGGCTTGAACTAATATGATAAGAAAAGCTTCACATACTATTTGTGTATTGAAAAGCTGACATTTTTATACATCTATTGTGATAACTTTTATATATTGCAAAATACGTGATTTAGAGAAATTATTCTAAACAATGACTTGGACCAGTAATTAATAATGTGTTTTGTTTCATTATACGATTACATGAGTTGTAAGGCCTTGTAATAAGACAAAACATTGTACTATATAATCTTCATCAAAAATAGGTTCTTCTAATCATACTTGAAGCTGAAACAAATTTTAATAAATGTTTCCTAGTCATACCATTAAGTAGATTACATCTTTTCCATTTAATATTTGATGACTTCAGAGTAATGACTCTGGGACTGATAAAACATTTGCATTGGAGATGTCAAAATTTGTATTATCTTTCACTCTTGAAGTGCCTTGACAAGCCTTGTGGTTATTGTAGAATAAGTTGAAAGCCTTGAAGACTGCTTTATTTCACTACTTTCTTCACCTTGCATGAGAAGTGCTCTATTAACAATTAAGTAGTGTTGTTACTGAGGACTAGTAGAGTGTGGGCAGGAGGAAATGTTACTCTCCTGTAGTATCCTGTTTGTGTTTTACTCTTTTTTTTTTCTTTTTTTGTTTTTTTACCTATATAAGTTTGCATAACCAAGAAACCTACAAATATCCACATTAATGTCTATTGTTTTAACACAATACTGTGTATACCATTATACATTACAGCTTCCCTTGCAATTGAACTGAATTATTAGTAAAGTATTATACAGTAAGCCTTTGAGTTGCACAGGGCATGTATCCTGGTAAAAAGTATGCAAACATTAGCTACACAAATTTACAAAACTGTTCTTTGGGAAGAAAGAGATTGCTAGAGACATTGTGCAGTTCCTTCATAACCACTATTGTCATCCTCTGGGACGGTATGCCACCAGACTCGTCCCGGAACTAAGAGGTATGAGCTACGAGGAAAGGTTAAAGGAGCTGAAACTCACATCCCTGGGAAACAGAAGAGTAAGGGGAGACATGATAACCACCTACAAAATTCTCAGGGGAATTGACAGGGTGGAAAAAGACAAGCTCTTTAGCACAGGTGAAACACGGACAAGGTGACACAGATGGAAACTTAGTACCCAAATGAGCCACAAAGACATTAGAGAGAATGTTTTCAGTGTCAGAGTAGTTAACAAATGGAATGCATTATGAAGTGATGTGGTTGAGGCTGACTCCATACACAGTTTTAAATGTAGATATGATAGAGCCCAGTAGCCTCAGGAATAGACAGTTGAGAGGCCCAGATCTCAACCCCTGCAAGCACAACTAGGTGAGAACTAACTTCTCAAAAAAAATTAAAAACATGTGCAATAAACCATATTTGAATGCACGCAGTACATCCCTGTCAATTAGACAACTGTTGAGGCAAGATGATGTTGGATGAGGAGTGAATAAGTTGGAGAAAATGGGTGGTAGCAAATCTTCAGGGTCAGTCTAAATCTCTACTTCACTTGATGTCATTTTATGGAATTTAATTAAGCAGAGTTTTTAATTTTAGCTGTATTTTTTGTAATTCTTTGTATTCATACTAAATTTGTTTAATGTTATATAGACCAAAAAAGAAAGGCAGCAAAATTGCTGCTCTCAAGATGTAATAAATTCAAATTTTGTTTCCAAAGTCAGCATTATCTATTGTTTCTTCCTGAGTTTTCATCATACAGTACAGGAAATCTTTCAGGATGTTTGGAAGGAGCCAGGATACAAGAATGTACTTTAGAGAGTGTAAACACAATGTAGTGTGAGGAGTCACGAATTTGGCATATAGTACCTGGGTGTTCGAACAACTTCTTTCAAAGCTTTCAAACAAATTGTTCTTGATACTTAGGTAGGAATAGGCTCAACACCAGGGTTTGGGCTCAACAGGATTTGGACTCAAGACCAGGGTTGGGCACAACACCAGGGTCAAGCCCAACACTAGATTTGAGCTGAACACCAGTCAGGCTTAACACTAGTCAGGCCAAGAGAAACAATAAAACTAGAATCTAAAACCTGCCGTTATTATAAATGGGGTACTGTATGTGCAAATACATATCACCCCCAGAAACTGTAGAAATATTCTTAGTATATAGGTAAATGTTCCAAAAAGCTGCAAAATTTTCCACTTTGAACTTTGTAAGAGCTCTTTAATTTAAATAGGAAAGAAAGTTTCAACAGAGGCTATCCAGCTTTTCATATAAGAGGAATGAGGCAAATAAAACTAAAAGAATGCCACTATGAAAATAGCCGCAACTATGAAAACACACTGTCATAAACATACCAGGGAGATTTCTTTTTAGTAGAGGAAGAGGAGAATGTCTTAAAAATGTCCAGACTCTACCACCAACTCAATCAAATGATAGAGGACAAACACAATGGCTCCCTTACCAGAACCCCAGATATTAACACCAAGAAAAACATCCAGCACTTCCAAATATATGATATGATATATATATTTGGTAACTTTCAGGATATAAAAACATGCAAATCAAACAAAGTACACTTTATAAGCTGGCTTCCTAAATGAGGCAAATGCAGTGTTTGCATCGCTAACTGAAACCCACACTAAGGATTACTAAGATGTTGAAATATAGATACCAGAGAACAATATTTCCAGATGTGACAGGAAACACAGGCTACAGGGTGGGGTCAGCCTGTACATCAAAGATACACTCATCTGTACTGAGCTGCTGAACACCACAAATGATATGGTGGAAGTGCTGATACTCGAAATAGAGACCTGAAATGTGGTTATTATTCTTGAATGTAAGCCACCAGAGACAAGTCCTCAGCAGTTTAAATAGTTTTTTTCTTTTTCAAAAAAACTAATGAAAATAGAATACTGCTTAGAAAAACTCACAGATCCAGCCTCAATCATTATCTTGATTCAGAACTTCAACCTGTGGCACCAGAAATGGAAGAGTGTAGCAAATATCCGAGAGAATCCCAGGAAGTAGCCTAAAAGAGCAGTCACACACTAATGACCTCTTATGGATGCCTCAAAAAAATAAGCTCAGTAGCTCTTAGAAATATGCTGAAGCCACATACCTCTAAGAAAAAAAGAGTAACAGATGTAGATTGGAAAGGGATCAGTATTCTCTCTTTAGGCGAAAAAACAAATCTCGGAACACCTTGAATAAGAACTTCAAGATTCAAGAACCTCTATATCAACAACGGCAAGAAAGACTATGCAGATAAATAGAAACAATTGAACTAAAGCTACAAGAATCATATAAAATCCAGGAGAGGCAGCAAAAAGTCACTAGGGAAATAGAAAGCAATCCAAAATACTTTCTTCCTATACAAAATCTAGAACAAAAAATACTTTACATCTAGTATTTAGCCCCTGCACAAGGGAGATGAAACAGCAAACAACAAAGAAATGTTTTGAAAACCACACATAAAATAATGAAAACCATTTTTTATAATAAAAAAAGCAGTGTCAATGATCCAGGAATTATGTCGGAAGACATAATTGGTGGAAGAATCCCACCAAACCTGGTCAAGACTCTTGACCAAGTCAAGTGGGAAGGGTCTGAAGATCAGAGCCTACAACACTGTCTTGATGTTGGTGGCCTTACTGTTATGTACAAGGCCAACATTCTCGAGCAGGCATGTCCAACAGCCTGGTTGGACATCAATCAGGAGGCCTGATCAGAGACCGGGCTGCAGGGATGTTGATCCTGGGAATCACCACACAGTAACTGTAACCAGCATCTCACAATGCAAGTCTTTAGGATCTTTGCTTGCAGGAACTCCACACATTTCTCACCCCTTCTCAACATGCACAACTGTGGAACACCCTTCTCATGCTTTTAGAAACGTGTGTTAAAAAATAAACTGCATATCTGCAAAAGCACACCTTTTGAACACACACACACAAATCAAGGCCAAGCTGTATAGTAGTAATGGTATGCATCAATCTAAAATTAATTTTATGTGCCTATTCAAAAACATAAATTAAAAAAAGCAGAACATAGACAGGGTATTATACTGTAGTACTCTTTTTGAGAGCTATCAGCACAACAGGTGATGCATGTTTTATTATATTTTTATTGGTTTATTGATTGTCTAATTGTAATTTTAGTAGGCCACTGAATAGCATGAGACGCACTCCAGATAAATCTTATTTCATTCAAAATCTTGCTACACAAGGGATATCTTTCAATGCAGCATCAGTTGTACAATGTTTTGGAAGTATGTACTGTGTACAAGGATGGACTCCAAAAAGTGTGTAAAATATAGTAAGAAATAAACTTTTGAGGTTGACATGATGCAAGATTACAGTAAACAAAAATTGTAAAGCAAGAAAGTTTTTGCCCCCCCCCCCAAGCCTTGTGTGTCACACTTGTACTTGTCAAGTTTTTGGTAGTAAAGGTAAATGTTGTGGGGGGTCACACTGCACCAAATTCTCACTGCATGAGTTTGTGCTATTCAAGGGTCTACTTTATTTTGACTGTGTGAAACTTGTAACCCAAAAAAAAAAGACATTTTGTTGACTGTTAACTTAAATCCCTAAGACAATTATAAATACATGCATAAGGTAATCATAAGTATAGTATAGATCATTTGCTGTTGACGCACAGTGTCAGATAATAGGCATGGTCTCGACAAGCGTCTGTTGAGACCATGCCTATCTTATATATATACTTGTGTGTATACATATACATACATACATATATATATATATATATATATATATATATATATATATATATATATATATATATATATATATATATATATATATATATATATATATATATATATATATATATATATATATATATATATATATGTCGTACCTAGTAGCCAGAACGCACTTCTTTGCCTACTATGCAAGGCCTGATTTGCCTAATAAGCCAAGTTTTCATGAATTAGCCTACTATTCAAGGCCCGATTTGCCTAATAAGCCAAGTTTTCCTGAATTAATATATTTACTATAATTTTTTTCTTATGAAATGATAAAGCAACCCTTTTCTCTATGTATGAGGTCAATTTTTTTTTATTGGAGTTAAAATTAACGTAGATATATGACCGAACCTAACCAACCCTACCTAACCAAACCTAACCTATATTTATAGGTAAGGTTAGGTTAGGTAGCCAAAAAAAGCTAGGTTAGGTTAGGTTAGGTAGGTTAGGTAGACGAAAAAACATTAATTCATGAAAACTTGGCTTATTAGGCAAATCGGGCCTTGAATAGTAGGCTGAGAAGTGCGTTCTGGCTATTAGGTACGACATATATATATATATATATATATATATATATATA